ACCCGCGCCGCCCCCTCGCCAAGCCCCGCGGAACCGGAGCCCGCCCCCCCCAGTGCCGCACCACCGGAGTGCCCCCCAGCCGCGGAATGCCGCGCCGCGCTCCCCCCGCCGCCCCTTACCAGGTGCCGGCCCAAGCATGTGCTTGGGTGCCTGGTGCCTAGAGCCGGCCCTGCTATTAAGTGTTTCCTGTTGTACACAGTATACAGTTATCAGTTCAGATTTATGCAGTGTTTTACATTTTACCAGGGCTTTTGCCTGTCTAAGAGCTGCAGGATCTGGTCCTAGTTGTGAGTTCAAAATCTGGAATAGACCTGATTTTTTTTAAGGTGTTATACATTTTATTTGCAAAGACAAATTTTTACTTGGGAAGAAGTGCAACCCTGACACTTGATATAGAAGTGAATATGGCCCAAACATCACCACAGCTCATTTTATTTCATTTCATTAGTGATACAGTAAGAGGGACTGCAGACCAGTCTGGGAGCAGAAAAGAACAAAGGGTAAAACAGCCAACATGAGTGTAGGCTGGTTAGTGTCTGGTGTTTTTAATATTTGAGACTAAATCCTCAGCTGCAATGAATGCAAACTTGGTACAGCCAAAAAAGTAGGGAGAGGGCTGGCTCTAAACCACCTTTTCTGTTCCTTTGATTCTGATCTGGCTGGGGATCAAAACAACCCTACGCATAAGCTACTATCCCCATATAAACTACTGTAAATTATGTTGGCTGAAGTCCACAAGAACTTCTGAATCAACTGAGAATCAGGTAGGATGCCTGGTACTCTACCCTTCTCCCATCTGCCATTGGCATGCCCCAACACGATCCCTAGACAGAGTGTGTGGGGGGTGAGCAGGAAGTAACTTTATGGCTGCTGAGTCTATGCACATCACTCAGAAACACACCTGAGAATCTGAATATTGATGCCCATTATTTTCTATTGAGGAGGGGAGAACAAAACAAAATAACTTTTCCTAAAAATTAAGTATTCTGAAAACATAAATACTGGGTCATTAGCTGCTATTAAGTTATTAAAATATGGCATCTATTAACGAAAATGTCATAATCTTACAGACAAAATATAAACAGGTTTCACGGATGAATATTTTTTTAAAAATAAAATAAAATAGACATGGGGTGGCAGGGGAAAAGGTCTCGTGTATGCTTGCATATGTTTAAATTATCCTGTTTGTTACTTTTCTTAGTGCTGCTACATTTATAGTACTATTGGTTCAGGGTTCTGTTTACAGGGATTTGGATTTGCTTGTCTTACACTATAAAATATAAGTTTTTTTTCTTGCTTCTATTAAGTCCACATAAGCTACATAGTCCACATAGAGCATTAAGAAAAAAGTCAAAACACTTCAAACTGGTAATAAACACAAGCCTTCAAGATGGAAGGCTAGATTTTCAAGGGTATTTAGGCATTAGTGTGCTCTGTGTTGCAATGCCTAAATGATGTAGCCTACAGTACCTAGCACAATGGAGCTAGGACTATTAGACATTGAGACAATATAAATAATAATATGCTCATCGAAGATGAGCCACACAGAACCACAGTTTGTTAACCAACGACCTCATTGTAAATATTACTTCTGAACTATGAAGTTCTCTTGACTAAAGAATGGTTGGTTTCTTTTTCTTTTTCTTCTTCGTCTGATGTTGAATTTTTGGAGAATATCTGGGTTTTCTAACATGGGATACCATTCATCTATTTAGCTGCATTAACTTTTGAAGGCTTTTTCCTACATGTGCTATAGAGTTTGTATCACAAAGGATCAAACCTCAGTAGTTGCTGTACTTAACACACACGTTATTTGTTTTTAAATCAATTCTGTAAGAATATCATGATGTAACCTTCTGGCATATGTGTGTGCTGATCAAAGAGGATATCAGCCCTCGCCTATAGAGGCTTGTCTCTTTGGACTTAAAAGCATGAGCTGCTAAATTTTCACCTAGAGTTCCCAGTTCAGTCCCTGGTATGTTAGCCAAGACAGTGGACATCACAATGGCATGATATCAAACAAATAGAGAGATTCAAGCTGGACACAAAGGCATTTTGCAGTACTGAGGTATATGACAAATTGATATCACACTGTAAGGGGGAACCCCCCAACACAAAACTCCTCCCCAAACACAAACTTCCCATCCCTACGCCTGCAATCTCTGCACCTGTAAATATTTTGACTATCAATAAAACTGCACTTATGTCCCACAGTAATGCTTGATTACACACGGTTATTTTAAAGAAATTTCTTGCGAAATGGGGGTGAAGAAATATATAAAATCTCACACACACACAGAGGTTTTTGGGTTTTTTTTGCATTACTTAGAAATGAACTATCTACTACACCAGGGATTCTCACCCTTTTTCTTTCAGACCACCCTCCACCCCCACCCCCACCATGCTATAAAAACTCTATGGCCCATCCGTGGCACAACAACTAGTTTTCTGCATATAAAATCCAGGGCCGGCATTAGGGGGTAGCAAGCAGGGCAATTGCCTGAGCGCCCGTACCACAGGGGCCCCTGTGAAGCTAAGCTGCTCATGCTTTGGCTTCAGCCCAAGGTGGAGGGTCTCAGGGCCTTGGGCTTCAGCTCCATGCGATGGGGCTTTAGCTTTCTGCCGAGGGCCCCAGCGAGTCTAATGCTGGCCCTGCTTGGAGGACCCCCAGAAACCTGCTCATGGTCCCCTAGGGGGCTCCAGACCCCTGGTTGAGAACCACTGTACTACACTACCTATTTAAAGATTTCAGGCTGGTTTATGCCATAAAGCCATATGTTCTCACAAAGGGAAGTGTGGAGACCAATACCTCAGTGGAGAAGCATTGTATTTTGGACTGGTATAAAGCCTCCTTTGGGAAGGAGAGTTTCTGCTCTATTACTGAAAAAGTTCAGGATAAGCTCCACTCCATTCCTGGCCAGTCCGGTTTTCTGGAGCACAGAGAGTAAAGCTATGGCCTCACTTGATTTCTGACAACTTTTGAAAGACTAACACCTGTAGCTGTGGTACATTTCGAAAGACTAACACCTGTAGCTGTGGTACATTTCATTATCCTTTTGCCACAGAGAGCATAAAAACCACATTGTGCCTGGCTACCAAACAGAGGAGAGTATTTTGGTATTGTGTCCCCAACTTGTGCATCTGTGCAGCATCTGGCAAAATCTTGCTTCAAGGAGCTAGATCAAGAGTAAGGTTGCTATGTATTATACATTTCTGCCCATTTAGGTAGCTTGTTTAATAAAAGGTAGCTTGTTTTTTCAATGTTGGTAGAAAAGACAAAAATCTTTAACTGATACACGTCTATCTGAAAAACATAGTTGAGATTGGAGAGTTTATGTAAGTGGAATATGGACATTTACAAATTTGGGAATATATAAGACTTAGCTCTGGCAGTCAACTGGAAAATACGTTGTCTTTGGAACAGAATGTGCATACAACTTTAACGAGAAATGCTTTATTAGGGACATTACAATATACAAATTCAAGCTATTAGGTGATAAACAACCTATTTAGATAGCCAAAGGCTGAGCAAATGAGACTTAATATTGCACTCTGCTCTTGGTAACAGATTTCTGTTCTTTCTCATGGATCCAGTGAATTCACAACATTCACCGTTATGTAATAAATAACAAAAAAGCTAAAGCAAAAGCCCACAAATCCTTCCTCTCTTTGGAAACTTTTTGTTTCATGTAAACTGATAAATGCATATTGCTTCAGTGTTTTAGTATTTAACCCAAACAATTCATAACAATGTTTTTAAAGACACCATATTAA